GGTTTAGGGTTTAGGGTTATTCTTCGAAAGTCAGGAACTGCCTTGGGTTTTCGGCTTGTAAACCAAAAAGGTTCACCTATTTAAGGAGCGTATCTTTAGAAGCCGTAGTAAGGAACACCAAAAAAGTAGTAGGTCTTTCCGGCTGCAGGTACTGTAGGGCTTGGGGTTTACAGCTTCAGCCGAAGCTTCAACTACTGTTGATGAAATACATCCTGCAATAACTTAAGGACCCCGGACTATGGGAATTATGGTATATTCCTTACCATGGGTAATGCAAGATTCATATCATCACGATAGACCTGCTGTCGTAGCATCCTAAAGCCCCAAACCCAAGACGCCCTAAGCCTAAACCTAAACCTAAACCCTTAATTCCAGAGCCAAGAAGCCCTATATAAGCCCTCAGACCCTAAACCCCAGACCCAAGACCCCAAACCCAAGAAGCCTAAACCCTCAGACCCTAAACCCTAAACCCCTACAGCCCAAACCCCCCAAGAAGCCCTAAACCCCAATAACCCAAACTCCTAAACCCTAAACCCTAAACCCTAAACCCTAAACCCTACAGAAAGGTACGCTGTGGGGGCCCGTGTTTCTCGTGGGTCCTGGCTCTACTCTCCTTTAAAGGGTTCTATAGGGTTTAGGGTTTAGGGTTTAGGGTTCATGGGTAGATATAAATGGGGTGATAAGTAGGGTAACTGTACTTATAACCCATTTTCGGGGACGTATAACCCCACTTAGAACTTACCCTAAACCCTAAGCCCTATAGAACCCTTTAAAGGAACCCTTAAAGGAACCCATGAACCTCCAAGTATCTGCAAGGTTCCTACTGAGAACCAGGAGTTGCGAATTTATTGGGTGGCCTTGCGGTGTCGGAGCGTTTGGGGGTACAGGATATCGGTAGATCAACGTGAGGGGTTTAGGGTTTAGGGTTTAGGGTTTAGGGTTTAGGGTTTAGGGTTTAGGGTTTAGAGGAAGGCTTTAGCAAAGAGGTTTAGATTCATTTTTTGAGGTTTAGGGCCAGGGCTCAACCCTACTTGGGGGTTCATGGGTAGTTATAAATGGGGCTATCGGCTATAGGTAGGGTATCTGTACTTATAACCCATACTAGGGGACTTATAACCCCACTAATAACTACCCCTAAACCCTAAACCCCAAAGAACCCTTTAAAGGAACCCTTAGAGGAACCCCATAAACCCCACTTATAACTACCCATGAATCTCCAAGTAGATCCCAACCCTAAACCCTAAACCCTAAACCCTAAAGCCCAAAACCCAAAACCCTAGTCCACCTGAACCCTAAACCCTGAACCCTTAAACCCCTAAACCCTTAAACCCCTAAACCCTAAACCCTTAAACCCCTAAACCCTAGACCCTTAAACCCCTAAACCCTAGACCCTTAAACCCTTAAACCCCTAAACCCTAAACCCCTAAACCCTTA